ACTGCTATACGTTATTCGTTATTTGCTATCTGTTATTCACTACCCATTATTCACTAGCTATTGAATTTTAATTATTATACTGAACAAGTCCTACGAAAACAAAATTGAATGGAGGAGTATTATTTACTCGTCTTTTTTAATTGTCTTCTAAATAAAGGTGATATAAATTAGCTATCTCCCATTTTATTTAAAAAGATATTAAATAGTACTATTTTAATTTTATTTTTATTGTTAAATAGAGATGGGGTGCTCCATATAAAAAAGTTGATTATACCAAGAGTTCGTGACTAAAGGATCTGTTGGATTTTAGGGAATAAAAGGGTAGAGGAAAGGGGTAGAGCCGTAGAGGGAAATGGTAATTTAACTAGTCAAATTAAGTCCTTGTGATATTTGTTGGAAAATACCCAACTAGCTATGATTTAAGAATTTGCTCGGTTTAAGGAAATGGAAGAGAAGGAACAACTTAATCCTAGTTGGTAAAGAGTTTATTAATTTTTTCTTTTTTACAACTAATGATAGGCATGGATTATTAAAAAAGGAATAGGCTTTTCTTTATGAAATTCTTTTCTACTAAACTCAAAGTTTGAACTAAACTAAAGTTTTAAACTATTAACCATTTGAATCAACCTTTTGAAGACAATTTACTCATTTCATTAACTATGCTTCAATTCTTTGAGGAGATTAATGAAGATATAATTTTTTTTTTGATGTAAATGACTTATTTTTAACCAAATTAAAAAAGATTTTAATCTTGAGTTATGTACAAACTAACTTAAAAATACCTTATCTTTAAACCCAAAAATAATTTATTTTATATATATATACACACACACCAAAATTAAGAATGTAGTATGAACTGTGTAAAATTATCATATTACTCCTAATGAATCTTCATTCATATTAATTTACATGAGTAGTTGTTTTGAATAAACTATACATTTTATAATTTTTAATGGAGAGTAAAATTATTATCACTTCTTAAATAATCAATATACTATATTTTTTAATATAACTATTTATTTTATGCTTATGTTATACCTTTTTAAAAATTTTATATTTTTTAATAAATTAAAAATAAAATAAATAATTAAAATAAAAAAATGATATTAGTAATTAAACTATAAAGACACTGGGATAACCCACTCATTAATAAAATGTAAGACTACCCAAATAACAAAGAATTCGCCCTTGTTTGCGTGAGCTGCACATCACTTTTTTTTTTTTAATTAAGATACTCCGTTTTTGTGTGGGAACTGAAATATAAGACACTCAAGATCAGACACTCAAGATCAAGAAAGAAGAAACACTGATGGCCAGTTGTAAACAACTAATAGGCCCTAGCGCGACGTCGTTTCCAAAACCACAGCCCTATTCCTTTTTGAAAATAGGTAATGAACCACAGCCCTATTCCTAGTCTCCCGTGTTCTTGCGACTTGAGTTGCGACTGCCTGTAACTGAAGCACCCTTGCGAACTCCACAGTGCGACAAAGAAGAATTCGGGCGGAACTAAAATGGCGATATCAGGGGATCTGAGGATCGCTGCAACACTCGCTTCTTACCACCAACGCCCTCTCCGAAGCTCTCCGTTCTCTTCAAAGGTCCTTAATTCTTCACTTCATCTATTTTTCTTAGTGACCTAGGATAGAATAAGCAAGCCCCCCTATTGATTTGTTTCTCTTTTTGGTAATTCATGCTGCATTTTCTTGGTTCCATGTTTTCTTGTTGAGTAAACGTGACGAATGAAAGTACTGGAAGAATTTGGTTTCAATGTTGTGTAGGAGCTGGTATTCTGAATTGTGGGCTTCAAAGTTTTTAGCTAATCTTCAATCCTTTCCAACTAGCCAGGCCATGTTTGTTACTGGGTGTTTGGTAGTCAGTTGAAAGCTTGTTACTTCTTGATTGTTCCATATGGTTGGTAGTTTCAGGGTTTGCACCGTTAATTTATGGATATGTCATTTGGATTTGTAGATTCAAATGTGCATGTTTCTAGTCTCATTGGCGTGTTTTTAGTAGCAGGTTGGAATTGGAAGGGTGATAATAAACAGAAATAATAGGGGTAAAATGTGGGTCTCTTGTGTTATACTGTCAAATTAATTAAATTAGAGATCCCAGTAGCAATTCTTTTTCTTTTTGTTTGATACCTTTCTAAAGCAGATGATTATTTTAAGGTGGTGGTGGTATAAAGATTGCATAGAAAGTTTTGAAGTCTTGTGAACTATGTTAATAAATGTTGGTCTATGAAAATTGGGTCTTTAACATCAAATGTTTGGCATTGTTATTTTTTCAATAGGGCGTGTCATGCACTTATTGAAATGCAGTCTGCTCTGTTTTCAAGTTGAATGAGTTTTCATATCAATTTGTATGTGTGCTGACTCTAAGTTTTCAAGCTGAATGACACTCAAAATCTCTGAAGTAAAGAAATGCTAGCCATTTCCTGTCAATGCTTTCTGAATTGGTATTTAGCATCTTTGACCAGAAGGATGGCATTCCTTTATAATTTGAAATTATTTGGAATTATAAGTCCCATTGATAGTTGTAATTCAATGCTAAACACCTGGCTAGTGTCGTTTTTTGACACTAACCTTCCACCTCTTTTTACTCTTTCCCATCAACTGTCTCTTGTCTTAGAGGATGTTTCATTGAAAAGTTTGCAAATTGAGGTTTTGGGGGAGGGAGCAGGGATTCCCACTCATCTCTTTGAGATGGGGAGAAATGTACTCACCATTTTCGTTACATACCCAGCTGGTCCTTTGGCTAGGAAGTTGATAGCACACTAGCACTTATCTTATGCGGTGGTCATGACCATAGAAACTTGGCCAGATATGATAAAAATCTGCTGTTGTCTTGTATCCAAGCAGGACTAAAGGAGGAGTGCAATGGTTTCATATGGTGTAAATTTTAGGCTAGAACAAGACTGTGTCCGCTGGAAGCAGTGGTGTGGTATTTCAGTTAGGGGCTTGTTATGGACTTGTGGTAGCTGTGGTGGTAATAATAGATGACTGTTGCTGTTAGATCTGATTCATTGTGAATTTAGACCATATGCACAAAATGTGATAACAAAGAGACCTTGTGGTTGTGGTTTGACTTGATTTCACTTGTTATCATACAGTTTAGTTGGTAGCACCCTTAGGCTAAGAAATTTCTGTTCCATGATTATCTTCTACTAATACTACTGGCAAAAGTTAGCATGATGATAGAATTAAACCTATGATTCTCAGATTTTCTTAACATACTTGATTGGTTAAAACCCCATTTTGATTCCTCTACTTTAACAAAAAGCCCTTTTTTAGTCCCTGTACTTAAAAAAGCCCATTTTAGTCCCTAAAGTTTGCTTTCTAGCCCCTTTTTAGTCCCTCTTTTATCTTTTTGCATACATGGCACGTTAGATGATAGAAATTCCAAGGTAGAGGGACTAAAAGTGGCTTTTTTTTAGTTCCTCTACTTTGGAATTTCTGTCATCTAGCACCACATGTGCAAAAAGATAACAAAGGGACTAACAAGGAGCTTTTTGTTAAAGTGGAGGGATGATAATGGGGTTTTAACCTACTTGATATATCATTGTGGGTATTTTTGTATGCTGAATTGCTTCTGTTTATATTGTTTTGAGATCCTAAGAAACAACCTCCCTTAAGACATTGACGTAGGTAGGCATGACAAACTAACTCACATAATAATAGAGTGAAATTGGACCAAACCTCAAGGTATTGTGTTGAATTTCTTGCATAGAGATTTTTGGGAGTGGAAAAGTTGAAGTAACATTGAAAACTTTGTTTTAGGAACTTAAGTGGCAGTGAAATTGATCTCGATTTTTTTTTTTTCTATCTGAATTTTAAAATTTCAGATTTATCATTGACATTTTCAAAGGAGAGGGTGGTTACTTATCTATCTTGTTTTCTTTAGCCTAGTTGTTCTTTTCTGTTTTTTTTTTTTCTTTGAAGGGGGGGAGGTGGGGACACATCCTTTTGTGATTAGCGTGATTGGTTAAGCTTTTCTGAGGTTAGTGATGTTAAGTGGCTTATGTTGTCAAGACAATGTTTTCACAACATAAATAGGCATCAGCTCGAAACATTACTTTTTTAACAAATTTTTTCCTTTTCTACATAAAGCACTAAAATTTTGTAAATGAATAGCACTCATACTACTAGATAATAATCCAAGGGTAAATGAATATGTTTGTTTCCTTTTTAAGTAAAAGAGAAAGCTTACAAATGCAAATACATAATGTTAAATGCTTCCTTTTAACTGTGGTTAATGTAAAGTTGTGTATTCTCCTTTCTTAATTTGTTAATTGATAATATTAATTTTGATTATTTATGGGATCTATTTGAAAATGTAAATGCATTGTCAAACTTTTAAACTTTGTGTCCTATTATAGGTTGATTTTGTGAGTCTAGTGAATGGAGGATCAAGCATTTCTAATTTCACACCTAGACCGCATGGCATTGTAATGAATAACGTCAACAGGCAGGTTCCCTCCAGAAGATTCTCAAGGACCATGGGAGATTATAAGCTGTCTGAAAATTCCATTAACAATGATGTTGAGAGCTTCCTTCTAAATGCTATAAATATGAGCTTCTTTGAGCGCCTAAACTTAGCTTGGAAGATAATTTTCCCTTCCTCAGCATCAAGAAGGAGCTCTAATGCAAGTATTGCTAAGCAACGATTGAAGATGATTCTCTTCTCAGACAGGTGTGCAGTCAGTGATGAGGCCAAACAGAAGATTGTGAAGAATATTGTGCATGCTTTATCAGATTTTGTCGAGATAGAGTCACAAGATAAAGTTCAGCTAAGTGTCTCTACTGATTCTGATCTTGGTACCATTTACTCTGTCACAGTTCCTGTGAGACGAGTAAAGCCAGAATATCAAGATGCTGATGAAATCGGAATGATAACAAATGTTGAGTACAAAGATACAGGGGAACACTCAGGTTCTGTTGATGTTAGGTTTGATTTCTATGTTCCAGATGAATGAAACATTGAGATTATTCCATCTCAAAAGAAGCTATTCATCATTGGCAAATATCCAAAGTTCCTTTGAGATGTTTGAGAGAACATTACACTTCTTTTTTCGTTTCTTCTTTGTATATATGAAGTCTTTTGTTAGATGATCTAGTGTTTTTCTTTCTTCGAAACTGTAGTGTGGTTGAACAATTGGTTTCTTGATGCTATGCTTTCGTTGAGCTCAATTAGAAGTGGTCTCATTGATGTGATAGTTGTGCCGCTTGAAAGATGGAATCGCATTGCACTTGGTATTTGGCACTGCTAGACTGCTAGTACTATCGGAGCATATTCTGTTTATGACTGAAGCGTTATAGGGAGCATCAATTTACTCGTATGATGTGATTGGACAGTGCGGTTCTAGAATTTTTTTTGTGAAATATTCACAATATGTTTGTTTTGAAGGGATGGGAGGGGCAGGAGACTAGGGGATGTTCCTTACCTCCCTTGTTCGGGTAAGGAGAGTGAGGGGATGGTGAGTGCACCTCAA